TTATTTAAATTCTTAATAGTAGGACACGCAGGGACATCTGCCATTTATGCTAGTCAGGTGCTTGAAAAATGACTGCAGTTTCCATTTTAGTTACTCCGTTAGTATTAATAATTATATCCATTGAAAAATAATTATTGCGTCGTAATTGGAGCTTCAGAACAAGATATGGTTTTAAGAGATTACTTTACTCCATATCTAGAATAAACTTGGCCCACTGTAATTTTAGGCACTTTAATTTTTAATTTTCAAACAAAAAAATTATGCTAATTGATTAGCTTGAGTTGTAAAATTTGATCAATTGAAATAAACACATTTTCAAAAATATGTAGTCATATTATTGAAGAAACTTATTCAAATAAATAACACCTGTACGAAAATAATTCCTTTGTTTTAAAACAAAAAATGATTTTTCGTTGTAGTTAATCTCCTTGGCAGTTATGAAACTGTATTAATATGAAATATATTGATTAAATTCATGTCGTTACAATAATAATGGTGCCGTCCCCCAACATATGTTCCAGATATAACATTTACCGAGTCCTTTTTTACAACACTCAACGAAACAATAGTTGTTTACATATATTTCACACATGCCCGAACACAGCTCCAAATTAGGCTATTCCAAACGGAACGCTTCCCAAACGTGCTGTTATCATCATTTATCATTTTTTTTATTCGCGATCTCACGATATATTCAACAAGTTATGGTAATAACGCGGCGGATCCTAAGATCGGGGGAGAATTAGGAAAAGACCGTGATTGAAAAGGCCCTAGAAAGAAACGTCCGACTGATACATCAATTCCACTTAATGCTCCGGGAATATAACCTTTGCAGCTGTGGTCTTTTATTTTATTTACTTAACATCGCAAGCGATCATCGACGCATGGAATGGACAATCTGGTGGTTTTAAATATCAGTTTTGAACATATTACAAGTTCAACGCAACACAAATAAGTTCTTTTTGTGCTGCGTAACGATGAATAGCGATGAAAATGGCGAAGATATCAAGTATTTAAGAAGCGGCTGCTACCAATGAAGTTCAGGAAAAGGTACGAAAAAGTATATGAATCTTTTTACTCCAGTCGAATTAGAGTTTGAACGTGAAAAAATTATTAGTAGACATTTTATTGCACTTGATGACGGGAAAGGGTATGTAGAATGATAATAGCAAAAAAGTAACTCGGAAGAAGTGACGCTAAGATGGCAAATTGCAAATAAGTGGCAAATTTACGTGTTTTTTCACCCTGGGACAATTTGTTTAAAACGCTACTTCACACATCTTGCTTTGTTAGTTGTAAAGGGCAACTTAATTTCAATTTTTTAAAATTTTAATATTTCAATACGGTTTTTTTGGACCAATTAGACCTATATCTACGATATTAACTTCTAAAATTAACGATTAGTAATTAAACAATTTGTTGCAAAAAAAAACAAAAGAAATTAATTAACAAATAGCTGGAGTAACAATTTCACGGTCAATTGAATCGGCGTTTGGCAAACATGTTGGTCATTGGATTGATAGACTTTTCCATAAATTGCAGCAACATTAATAGATTTTTGCAATAATAACGCGTAATTTTTGAAAACTGATATTTCCGTGTTTTACAGTTAACAAATTAGTGAAAAATGGCTGTAGGTACCTTAAATTGTACGTAATTTTTATTGCCTACAACACAAATAACTAATAATTCGATAGGTCATCTAAATTTTCGTCAGCAGTAAAAAAGTGAAAAAACACTTAAAGTCACTTATTTGCAATTTGTCTATTTAGCGTCACTTCTTTCGAGTTACTTTTTTGATATTATCATTCTACGTATAATAAAATATCTACTAATAATTTTTTCAGGTTTTCAGGTTTTATGACCTAATTCGACTGGAGGATTTAAAGAATGGAGCCAAATGGAAAGAGTCGTTGTAGTAAATGATGTTCTGTTAGCGCATTTTGCTTAAAAATCAAACACGCTTGAGTTATCAAGTGTATAGAGTTCACTTCTCAAAACAATATTAATTGCATCATTATTATCTTGCTATGAATGTACTTTCGATTATTCTTAGTTGTTGCGTTTACAATTTTGACAATTACCCAATATTATTGGAAATATAAATACTATGATTCCTAAATTGACTGTATAACTGTCGTTGGATAACTGCACTTTTTACATAAGTATTAATAACGAATGGTTAAAAGCTGATTTTCATTTATGGTACTATGCTCCGATCATGTTTCCATAACATGGAAAATATCAGTTCCCATTTTCACTTGAACTGTCCTGTTACAACTGTGCGCCTGCTGTGCGCTAACCGTTGGTTGCAAATTGCTCGAGGAAGCGTGTTACCCCTTATTATCTCCCCCTTTATTATTTTTTTCTTATTTATTTATCTAACTTTAAATAAATTTTAATTTTTAAATAACAGTGATGTTCCCTGTTTGTTTTTGCTAGGGTACTAATTTTTGTTTTTGGCTAGTTGATTTCTCAGTGGGGGCGTAGATCCTACTAATAAAAAAAATCGGGCGCCAAGTGATTTCAGAAATATTTAATGCCCTTCGCCAAAGTAATAGAGTAGACAAAAAAAAATAAATTCGTGACAAAACCACAATGATGATACCACTAAATAGTCATCATAGCTTTATTGGCGGCAATAAAAAAACAATGTATAGTTATACCAGTTATCTTAAAACTAATAACAATGACAACATTATGGCCTTATTCAACCAGGATGACACAGAAGTTTACTTAAGCATAAATAGATACCCCTTTATTATTAGACACTACTAAGATTTTTATGACACTAACCTTATACTAAAATTTAAAACTATTTACACTCTTCTTAGCAAATGTAATAACGTGTGGGTAATATTGATCGAAGAAACGATGAAGTGTGGCATAAGTTGCCTCAAACAAAAAAAAGGGTGTTGTGGTACTTAGCTGTGTAGTAACTGCAGCAGGAGTAATCATTCGAAAGAGCCAAATCTGCTTTCCACTGGATATCTACATAATCATGGGACGACCCGCGTCAAACAGTAGGCAAACTCTTCTTACAATAAAAAAAAGAACCCAACAGCAAAAACACCTCGGGCGTGGACAACCTTTGCTACCTCCGGACAAAACGCCTAAAAATAGTAATGAAACGTGGCATAATACCGAATAATATTAAGCGTTAAATGATACTTTCTTTGCTTTTTCTTTCTTTTTTTTTTTGAAACTCTAGTAGGTTTACTCTATTATAAAGATAATGTGAAACACGCTTACCTCCAATGCCGAAATCCCTAACACTTGGAGACGTGATAAATTGACCCAAATAAAATACAGAAACAGACGGCGCCAACAACCAAAATTTCTTAACCACAGGCGTCGTCTTCGTCGCTAGGCGAGGAGTTTTAATCCGTTATTTAAACGTTTTACAGCCTTTACAATAAATTCGTAATTTCGATCTCCACGCTAGCTGGCTATATACTACTACTAATTTTCAACAAAAAAAACCTTTTTTTCTAAAACGCTCTGTTCTTCGCGAGGAGGCCCGTTTTTCCGTCAGAGATATGGTTATCTATTTCTTTGCCTTTTGTTTGCTCGAATTTAAATTTACTAATTTGGCTTTTCCCCTACAGATATCTCTAAGTGTCTGATTAAAATTAATTATACTACCGATTTAAGAGCTAACAAACTGACTTACAAATATTTAACCGTAAGATTATATCTAAAAAAAAAAAATAAATCGTAACAAGCGATTCGCGACATGGGACCTGTTTGCGGTTAGAAGATAGATAGATCTAAATGTTGAGTTCTTCTTCTGAATATGTGGACGAAGCAATTCCAATAGGTCCCGAAATTTTGGATAACTCATTAGGAAATACTTCACAAATTTGATAGGATCATCTATCAATCTGTAAGCAAAACATGTTACCACAATGTCTTCCTTGTCCTGATTCATTTCTTAAATTGAAACGTTGTAGTTTGACAACAACAGTACCTGAACGTACAGTGAAAATGAACGCAACACGACAGGTGCACAGTGGGAACACGGTATGAGCATGACGCCCTCTGGCGGTGACAAGTGAAACTAGCGAAACAAGGTAAACATTTCTTATTTCTTGTGTGTGTGTGTGACAGTTCGTTTTGTATTTTATTTAAAACTGTGTTCAGTATTTGTTTTTTTGAACACTTGTTATTTTAAGAAAATAACGCGAGGAAAACTTCAGTAGTTATGGATAAAAAGAAGAAAATGTCGAACTATTATTGTTCAGTTCATGGTTGCTCTGCATGGTCCAAGAAAAATCAAGAATTAAGTTTTCATCTTTTTCCGCCAGCTGGTAGAAATAAAATTCACTGGACAACAAAATCTGGAAATCGAGAACTTATAGATGTACGGAAAGCATGGATATTAAATCTAAAAATTGGAAAATCCGTGTCAAAATATATGTGCGTCTGCTCCCGTCATTTTAAGGAACATGATTACTTCGGTAATTAGACTTTTTTGTGTAATGTAATAAGTACTAATGTGTAGTTAAGTTTTTCAAACTTGTACTAATGAAATTCTGTAGTAATGAAAATTAATGTCTATGTACAATGTACGTACATAAGTTATCTAACTAAAGATCAGTTAATTAATTATTGTTTATCTTATAGATTTTCATCAAAGAAAAACAAGACGTTTGAAAAGGAATGCATTTCCATCAGAAAACCTACCCATTGTCAAGTCGCAGCTGACATATATTTCAAATAATCAGCCAGGTAGCTTAGGATTATCTCGTTTAAAAAGAATAGAAGAGAAATTAAGAAGTCTACTATAATAGAAGTATCAGAAGCCAAGTCATTAGAAACCTGTGAACAAGACTACACTGAGGTTACACCTACTACAGAAGAAACAGAAGCAGCTGAAACATTGTTATCACTTCTCCATTATCAACCTGAATATAGCGGACCTAAACATTTTTCCGATTTTGCTGTTCAAGTGAACACTACTGAAAAATTAACACTATGATTTAATAACCACAGATAGTGCTCTAAATAGTTTTACGGGTATAAACAGCTTTATTACATTAAATTTAATTATAAAAGAGGTAACACAAATAATTATTGATAAAAGGCAACATAAACTCTCGGTTAAAGAAAGGGTAATTTTGACGTTTATCAAATTAAAGACAAATTTAACCTATGCTGTATTATCCACTTTTTTTTAATAACACCTAATTTATGTAAAACTTACATCATTGAAATGATACCACTATTGGCCTCAGTATTAAGGCCACTAATTCACTTTCCTTCATCTGAGGAAATACAAAGAAATATGCCAAAATGTTTTATGGAATTTCAAGACGTAAGAATAATTTTAGACTGTACTGAAATTTACATTCAACAACCCAAGTGTGTGCTGTCGAATAAAATTCTATTCCCATTATATAGGAACACAAACTGTAAAAGTTATGATCGGAATTTCCCCTGGAGGTCTAATAACTTTCGTAAGTGACGCTTATGGCGGCCGTGCCTCCGATAAACATATAGTTGAAAATTGCAGCCTCCTTTCAAAGTTGGATATGGGTAAAGATTGTATCATGGTTGATAAGGGTTTTTTAATAGATGATGTATGTGCTAATTTTAATATTAAATTAATAAGGCCTCCATTTCTAAAAAATAAGAAAGTTTACTACAGAAGAAGCTATCTTCAATGCAAAAATTGCCTCTGCAAAGGTGCACGTGGAACGAGCTCATCAACGAATAAAAATTCTAAAGATTCTGGGGAGAAAATTACAATGGTCGTTGGTTCCACATGTAAATAATATTATTGTAATAGCGTGTGCCCTAACTAACTTGTCACCTCCCATTTTATCCAATGACAAATTTTTAGATTAGTTCCAAAAAAAAAGTATTAAAAAACACGGTAAGCTTCAACAAAATTTATTTATTAAATGAATAATAACACTTAATGAACTTATTGGGAATAATAATAATAATANTGAGCTTTAAAGGTTCAACTAGTGGTGTACAACTGGACAGGGGTCACCCTCTTTGTTACAAAAAAACCTACGCCACTGCATTTTTTACATGTCATTGTAATTGATTTATATTTTAATGCACAAAATACGTAAAAAAGGTGACTTTAATTTTTCCCTAAGATACGCCGTTCTCAAGTTATTCATACTAATACAATCCCCTTGTGGCAGACACTTCTAACGATAAATATTACAAGAATATTTATTTATGTTTAAAAGTATGTGCAATTTGTAAGCACATCAACAAAATTATTTACACTTCGTTCTACACTACCCGTGAGGTAAGGTACGATATAAACAAAAAATTAATTTTTTTTTAAACCTCAACACCCTGTATCTCCAAAACGGGGCCGTTCCAGACTTATGTTTATAAGGCAAATACATATTATTTTAAAGAGATCTATCTACCCTCGAAGTTTCCTGCATAAAATTCGGACCACCCTGTATACAGGGTGTCTCATAATTAGCTGCCAACCCTGAACAGGCCGATTCTATGATCAAAACTAAGTAAAAAAGTTCATATGAACATGGGTCCGGAAATGCTTCCTAAGGGCACAGGGACCCATTGAAGAGGGAGGAATGGAAATCATTTTTTTGCAATATCTCTCAATCGCGTTGTGATAAATGAATGAAATTTGGTATACACAGCTAAATTTTGATGAGCAATTTGATGGACTAATCCATTTATTTCCACAAGGTCCATTGGGGTGGGTACGGGGGGGCCCTTGGTACTTTGCGTGTGTAACTTTTTCATCTTTGACTTTTTAACAAATTGGACAGCAAATTCCGTTTTCCCGAACTGTTTTACGTTAAAAAGGTACTCTTGTTTCAAATCGTTATCTTTAACGGTTTCTGAGAAAATCGCTCTTGAATTAATCCCACTTTGGTCAATTTCATAGTAATTTAAACAAAATTATCAAGGTATTCTTATGTCAAAGTATTGTCAACCCGATTGCCAATTTAATAGTTCTAAGCGAAAAAAATGGAAGAGTTTACGGGACAAGAGTTAGTTGATATGATATTTATTTATGGCTTTTGCGATGGTAATGCTGCAGCGGCAGAACGCGAGTACGGGAGAAGGTTTCCAAACCGAAGGCTGCCATCAAGGAGGACATTCCCTACGGTATTCCGCAACTTAGCTGCAACCGCCACTTTTCGAAAGGCACCGGGTCAAGGACGTCCCAGGATTAATAGGGAAGCGGAGGTCCTTGACGCTATTGAACAAGATCCTACGACTAGCATACGGAACATTTCAAGGCAAATAAATGTTCCTCGGCCAACGGTACTACATATCTTAAAGATTTCCTTAACAGAATTGATTAGATGTGCTACTAACATTTCAGGTTGGAAGAATATTAAAGCGACAAGGTCTACATGCCTATCACTATCGACGTGTACATGGCTTGATACCAGAAGATTTTGCGCCACGTATGCAATTTTGTCGCTGGATTTTGTCGCTGGACAACGAGCAAGCTTCCAAAATTTTGTGGTGTGACGAAGCTACTTTTACCCGAAATGGAAAATTAAATTTTCATAATTCTCATTATTGGGAAGAAGAGAACCCACATGTTGTTCGGAGAACAAACTTCCAGCAACGGTTTTCCATAAATTTATGGGCGGGAATAATTCACGACACTCTGATTGGACCTATTGAAATTCCACAACGTCTCAATTCAAATCTTTATTTAAACTTACTTCAAGAAAATCTTCCCCAAATTCTCGATGATCTGCCTCTAAATTTACGACGTAACATGTTTTTTCAACACGATGGAGCCCCGGCACATAGTGGTCGCAATGTTCTAAATTTCCTAAACGAAAATTTCGCTGGACGGTGGATAGGGAGGCACGGACCGGTAGCTTGGCCGCCGCGTTCTCCCGACCTAACCCCGCTGGACTTCTTTTTCTGGGGATATCTAAATCAAAAAGTTTACGCCACCGAAGTCGATACCCGTGAGGAATTGCTGCAGCGTATCAATGATGCAGCCAATGAAATTCGTCAAAACCGTTTTAGCATCTTAATAGCTTCGAGAAGTGTTACACGTAGGGCAAGACTTTGTATCAGAGAAGGTGGAGGGTTTTTTGAACAGTTTTTAAAATAGCTTGTTGTCTGTTATCAAAATTAAGTTTCCATCTTATGATCCCTTCGAAAAGTGACGGTTGCAGCTAAATTGCGGAATACAGTGAGGAATGTCCTCCTTGATGTCAGCCTTCTGTTTGGAAACCTTCTGCCGTACTCGCGTTCTGCCGCGCAGCATTACCATCGCAAAAGCCATAAACAAATCATCATATCATAATTGTTCTACATCAATAATGTGTATTACTGATTACGTATTAAATTATTATTATTATTTTTTGTTTAAATTACTATGAAATTGACCAAAGTGGGATTAATTCAAGAGCGATTTTCTCAGAAACCGTTAAAGATAACGATTTGAAACAAGAGTACCTTTTTAACGTAAAACAGTTCGGGAAAACGGAATTTGCTGTCCAATTTGTTAAAAAGTCAAAGATGAAAAAGTTACACACGCAAAGTACCAAGGGCCCCCCCGTACCCACCCCAATGGACCTTGTGGAAATAAATGGATTAGTCCATCAAATTGCTCATCAAAATTTAGCTGTGTATACCAAATTTCATTCATTTATCACAACGCGATTGAGAGATATTGCAAAAAAATGATTTCCATTCCTCCCTCTTCAATGGGTCCCTGTGCCCTTAGGAAGCATTTCCGGACCCATGTTCATATGAACTTTTTTACTTAGTTTTGATCAATAGAGTCGGCCTGTTCAGGGTTGGCAGCTAATTATGAGACACCCTGTATTATATTATCTGATTCTGATTATTATACCGTACTTCCACGAGAATTGTCTACGTCTATTCAAACTAAATCCAATAGTTTAATTTCAACATTAGAAAAAAGGAATATCATTTCCAGAGATGACGGCAAAAGCTATCGTAATTATAATGGTGTTATTAATAAATTTTATGGCCTGCCTAAGGTACATAAGAAGATGATGAAGGTACATAAAGCTCAATTAGCTCTTCGACCTATCATCTCCGGTGTCCATAGTCCCAATAGAGGTGTTGCTGAACTAGTCACCAACATTTTGACCATGTCTTATGACAAAGATAATCCCTTTTTTACTCTTGACTCTTTTCATTTTAGTAATTTTATTAATGACTTTAGATTACCAGATGACTTTGTTTTAATCAGTTTGGATGTTGTTTCTTTGTTTAGTAATGTCTATTAGTTTGGCTAGTTTCTATACGACGTCATTGGAATCAAATTAACGAAAATTGTAATATTACTCTACAATATTTTTTGGAACTAGTCGAATTTCTTTTTGATTCTACTGTGTTTTCGTTCAATAATCAAATTTACAAACAAATTTTAGGTATGCCTATGGGTAGTCCTGTCTCACCCATATTAGCTCAGTATGTGATGGATGACTTACTTGCCGAATGTATTAATCGTTTAAATTTTGAAATTCCTTTTATTAAAAAATACGTTGATGATATTATACTTAGTGTTCCCTTGGGTAGCATACAACAAGTTCTACATACTTTTAATGGTTATAGCCCTTTCATCCAATTTACTGTGGAAGAAGATGGCGAGAACAAAGGTGTTCCGTTTCTTGACACGAAAGTTTTCAGAGCTAAAAACAATATTCTTTACACATCGTGGTATACAAAACCTGGGGCATCAGGACGATTCTTGCATTTTGCATCGTACCACCCTGTTTAGTATTAAGCTATTATGAAGTACGGAATGGACTGTAACTAATAATGGAGACAAGAGAGAGAGAGAAAAAAAAGGAAACTATGTATAAACTTACCAAATGATGATGATGATGTCACACTATTAGGGTAGCCAAGGGTCAAAGGATACTAGAGAGTAAGGAATGGGAGAATGTTGGCTACCGTATGCACTATTTGTTGATCACTATTAAAGTAAAAAAAACTACTATTGTTTACTATTAAAAATGGTCTATATCAATATGTGTACCGATTCGTTCGAATTCTATCACACGTCTCTTTTTTTTGGTGGGTTTTTTAAATTCAGTTTTCTTTGTGGCTACAAAACAGTACATACAGCGGTATCTATTTCTGGGAGTTTTAACTATAAAAGGATTTCTATTTGTTTGAACCTGTTTTTGGCCTAAACATTCTCCCCAGGCTGAACTGCATTTCAGAAAGTGACAAGAAGAAACAAAACAAAGAAATTAATTACACTTAAGTTTAATTATATTTAACTATTAGTTATCTAACTAAAAGAAGAAAAAAAATAGGTATGTATGAAGACCATTATAATAAAAAATAAAAAATAATGAAATGTAATAAAAAACATGAAAAAGTACTATTGTAAAAGTAAGT